TTCTTCTGTTGTTTTTTGTGCAATATGAATCCTCAATCTTTTCTTCTCCACGTTTACATAAAATGTGATTGGAAATAGTTATGTCTCTGCATACTATGAGAAAGACAACACACCCTGAGGCATCTTCACTCATTAAATTTAGTTAAGGATTAATGGTTGTATTTTAACCAGCACAGTGACAGCAAAGAATAAAGTACAGCAGTCAGTTCTAGAGTCTAAAGCAAAACAAAAAAGTTAATTTCTGTGCCTGATAGGGAGGAATTTCCTCCCTTGATCTCTGCTGCCAGAGAGCCAGCTATTAATGTCAGCCTTTTAGTTACAAACTGCTGTACTTTTTTAAGGTACTAATTGATGAAATTAGATTATGATATATTTGTTGCCTTTCTTTTATGATCCAAACCAAATAATAGCATCTGTGAATAACAGTCTCAATATACTCACATGACCCATATTCCTGTGATGGTGAAGACTGGCAGGCTGACAGGAAGGATCATCCACATGGACATATCAACAGCCAGCATCTTCACCTTCAGTAAACAAAAACAGAATCTTGATTTTGTGTATATTTCGAATAAACAACCTGGATGCACTTGTTAGACTTAATGCTAAAATCTGCTGCTTTGCGTATAAAGAGATATAAGAATAATAAGTCTTCTATATTTTTAAACCTTTTTTTCTCTTTTTTGGTGTTTAGAAGCTAATTATATATTATTATAATAGTTTTAAAAAAACAGAGTATGTCTGACCTTTGCATTTTTTTCAAATTTTTTTCTTCAAATGTAAAATTAGTTATTTAAAAGTGTTATATCTTACATATTCCTACTTTAAATAGATTTTTTTCAGCATTTTTCTGCTCTCCATAAATTATCTTTGAGTTTTTCTTAGCCAGAAGACAGAGAAATCTCTTTATTTTCAGACTGTTTATGCTACCTTACAATTTGAATGGAAAAGAAATTAAACATTTAGGAATACTGAAGAAGCCAGCAGCTAAGGAGGAAAAGATAAAACAGGAAAAGATCAGGGCAGCACAGGGGTGCAACAACCTCTTAGGGACTGATGATGAGATTTTGCATCATCTGAGATAATCATGTTTAATTACTCTTACTGCTAGATCTATAACTTGGAACAGAAACAAAAATCTATCTGGTGGCTTCTGTGGGCCAGAGAAGTGGAAAATCCCACAATTTTAACTGAAACTGTTTCCACCAGAGTAGCAAATTGTATCTATTGAAACAACAAGAGTTAATTTCTCTTCACTCAGTTCTATAATGATAATATTTGTTTCTTTTCCAGTTTTCTTAAACTTATCAAGAACTTGGAGCCCACTGAAATAAGAACGGGAAAACTGAAAAAAATAAAGCAACTGTTTCTGGCATTTACTTAATCATATTTAATTACTTTAACCCAGTTTTATTTTGCTTCATGTTAGTATGGTAGTACATAAAACAATTGTGTTAAAGTAACTAGATATGATTAAGTAGGTACCAAAAATGGTTGCATACATTTTTCAGTGTAGTTTTCAGCAAGAAATTGTCAGTAAAAAAAAAAAAAAAAGTTATTTATTTTGGAACACAATATTGCTGAACTATGTGAGGCTTTCTTACTAGAGGCTGGAGGTTAAACTTGGCAGCTTTTCCTCCATGCACAGCTTCATTAAGCTCTTACCTTGCTTGTTTCCCCAAATGTTTAATCACTTTGCTTCATTTCAGCTCTTCTTCTATGCAGGAACGCTTCTCCTGTGCAGGTTTCATTCTCCAGAACAAAAACCGATACAGGTTTATCACCTTATTGGGATCAGAAAGAAGGCAGCTGCATGTCCTTTCTGTCTTCTGTCATCACTTCTTTTCTCTTCCAATGTGTACGAGGAGGAAAGCAGCTGAACTGTGGTACTTTGAACTCCTCCCAGTTCAGTTCCCCCTAGCCAATGTGGAGGGAGTCATATCTGACTGGCCCTCATTTTCATTTTGTTGGCATAAGAAAAGTGGTCAGTTTTTTCCACTTATTCACTTTGAAGTGGGGTGAATGGACTTCAGTAACTCTGTGTTATTTCTAGACATAGAGATAAGGTTAAGAGCCTGCAGTTTTGTATGCTTTGTTTATTTATGCAGTTTTCTCTAACTTTCTCTCAATTTTATTGCTTGTTTCTAGCCTAACAGTACATTTATAGACCTACTGATTAATGGATTTAATCATTTGAGTAAAAACATATAAAAGCTGAAAGTTATACTGGAACGCAACAAGCCAAGCACTATACAGGCTTATAATGTATGTTGCATGCTAATACTATTAGGGGAGAGATTCTGGTTAGTTTTGCAAACAATTTTAATACATTCAACAAATGTTTAAAATGTAAATTACATTTGAAAAAGGAAAGAGAAGAAAAGTGCAGTCCATTCACATTGATGCATGCTTGTCTGGCTAAATAAAAAAAAGAAAAAAGAAATCAGAAAATGTACTGAGACCACAAGAGGGCGCCAGAGTCTTCATCACCAGAACCAATTTCACTGTGTGATGAAAACTGACTGAAAACGTTTCTCAAAATAAATGATATATTATAAAACAAACAATAATTTACAGAGAAAAAAATGGGTTTAGCTTCAGCTACTTTCTAAATGACATAAAAATAAAAAGGAAACTTGTTGAATAGCCAAGGTGCGAAAAGAGAGACCCTGAATTTATTATCATGTATGAAATCCTTGGGAAAACCACCAGATTTGGGGTTGAGGATCTGAAGGCTCCAGTTGGAACAAAACATCTGGCATTGATTCAGTGATTGGGGAAAGGGTTTGTGTGGAAAACTTATTCCAAAACAAGCAGCTAACGTGGAAGATAAAAAGTTAATTGAATTACTTTTGAAGAGAGCAAATAAAAGGCCTTAAAAATGCAGAATCTTAAAATATTGAGTTAACACCATCTTTTCTTGACCTTATCATGGTCCCCTACATTTAGGATTAATTCAGAATTCAAATGCCAAATCTTTGTAATAAGTTAGATATATTGTATTCTATTTTTGTGATTTAAATCATGTTTATTTCAGGGCTATAGGATTCATTTAATACTTTCTGAGGATTTTCAGTTTCTTTTACCACATTCTTTACAAAACTTAAGATTATTATCCCTTTTTGTACAGGTTGCACTTCTTGAAACTTACAGATATATTTGTTTAACAGATACACAATGTTCAGAGCACCTTTATTTTCCTAAAAGTTAAATGTTATTTCCTGGTATCTACAGGTAATTTTCCCAAACATTCCTAGAAGTTGTCCCGTCTTTTCCTAAGAAAAAGAAGAATACGTATCTTGAATTTTAAGGCAAATACAAACTTTACCCATAAGCATTTGCTATCTGTTGGCTACTTTACAATAATTACTATTACCTAAGTTACTTTTATATAACCTGCAGGCTACTTTCTAAAACTCACAGCCTCCTTATTCACAAGAGATAACTTTTCTAAAACATGAAACAGGTTACTTTCATTCCTCTTGTAAACTAACAGCAGCTGGAAATTTTATTTTTATTTTTTTGTTAGTCTTAAAGAGTTTTTTTATTAATTATTTTAAGGTCAAAGTTTTATTTACAGTTGGTCCTTATGCTTAAAAAACATTAAATTGTGCTTATTTGTTGAGCACAATTTGTATGGCAGCTTATGTCCTATGAATGTTTAGAGCATTTAAGATATTTCAAAATTGAAAACAAAACACTGTAAGGAAGAAAACCCTTTCAAAACTGTGAGAAATATTGTTACCCTCAGTCTGAAGAAGAGCACATTTTTAAACCTTGAAGAGACAAACGTAATTAACCTAAACAGAAATGTCCAACCCTCTGATGCATTACCCCCTTATTTCAATCTTCAAACTCCTGTAATGACCTGAGTGAAGTTGCCCCCCACACACACACACACCTTCTTCAAATCAGACAAAATTAGTGTCAAACGTTTGTGCAGAAAAAATTTTGTTCTGTGCTGCTACCATTTTAAAGATATAAAGAAATGTGTCTAGAGGTCATCAAAGGTCAACCAGCCACCCCTGTTCAAATGAGGCAAAAGGGGTGTCAAAAGGGGGGGGGGGGGGGGGGGGGGGGGGGCTGGTTGACCTTTGATTACCTCTAGAAACATTTCTTTATATCTTTAAAATGGTAGCGGCACAAACGAAAATTTTTGCTGCACAAACCAGCAAAAACGTAGCACTAACGTTTGACCAGAAAACTGGTGCATTTCTACCTTATAAAATAGTTGAACAAGCCGTTGCTTCTCAAATTCACTACCATCGAACATATAATAACTGTATGACCAATTCCAGTGTAGTTTCTGCCCTGGCCACAGTAATAAAAATACGCTGTAATGATTGTAAGCCTGATAACACCGTTTTGTAAAATGTAAATCTGAACAGATCTGCTTCAGGTAGGGATTAAGGCATGTAGTTGGTAACACCTGACAGCTGACAGACTGAGTTTATGGCCTCCCAGCAGTCGGTCTCTCAGTCAGGACAGTTTGCTCTCTGCTGGGAGCTCAAAGAATGCTGTGTTTCCTTAACTCAGAAACTCAGCTGGAAATATATTCTATATCCAGTGCTGTTTTTACATATTTTTTTAGTAAAGAAAAGTGACTCTCAAAGTGTATAGATTCCTATTAAAACCAGTGTTTTAAAGAGACCATTTGTCTCTTATAAAAAAATGTGCAATAAATTGATTCAGGAAATGTGTGCGCTTTTACACCAGGCAATCTTGGATCAAATCTCACCATTCAGAATAAGACTTAGTAAAGCATCACATGCTAAGACCACAGAAAAATAAACTAAAACAGCAAGGATAAAGATGGGTTAATTGAACACAGAAAGCCGTTTTTCTTATTTAGATTTTAATTCGTACATTCAGCAGTGAGGCCTTTTCTAAGAGGAGTTATGATTCAAAGTGAAAACTAAGCAAAGAATTGTTGTTTTAATAAATCAGTATAAATTTCTCTTGTTTTGCATAATGTTAAGCTTTTATTTTTGAGTTTCCTCCAGTAATACAGGGCAGCAGAAATGACCATAAAACAGACAAACATGTTTCAAGTCATATTAAAACATAGCTGATGGATTTCCCTTTTTTTCCCCACACACATGCCATTTAAAGAGGTTCTTCAGTGCTGAGTAATGAGGGCGAAATGTCAAACGTCAGTTTAAATTAAGAGACAGGGGATAAAATGCTGTGTAAATTCAGCCATAGAGGGAGACATGTTTATCCTACTACAGCTTAACACTAGTGTTATTACATATCACTATTCATTATACCTATTTAGTGCAAGTAAATACATGACTTTCATTTGGTTTTAGTTCCCATCATGCAGTTGTTTTCTTTTTCACACTTAAACTGAGTTCAAAGGAACTCCCTGGCATAAAAAATTATGATTTTATTTCAACATGTTAACTGTTGTCTGACTACTCCTTTCCAAAGTATAACAAATGAAAGTTAACTAGGAATTTATAGCAAATATTTCTTCCATCAGCAGACAATGTGTAATCTGAGAAAGACAATTTGTGAAGGGCAAAAGGAAAAATAGATAAAAAAAAAAAAGAAATCGGAGGGGACAAGAAAAAGATGTAAAATCCATAAACTGCGAGGTCATTACAACATTTCATATTAAATACTAAAAATACTTCTCATCGATATGAAAACATTGCTTTGCAGGTAAAATTTAAGCTTTAACAACATTTTCCAAATATATCAAAGGATTTGAAAAAAAAACAAACAATTTTTTTCTATTATGAGCCTGCTGTAAAAACAAACGCTATTGTTTCTCTCTGCTCATCTGACACGCACCGTGAACTTTAAAAAGCTTTGCTTAAAGGAAGAACTAGGTTTAAATCCTTGTGCCCTTAATATATCAGCATGTTTTAGAATTTAATTTTAAAGCAAGTCCACTTTAAGTTTAATTGTTAAAATGTCCCAAATGGCTCAGATTAGTTGAATGGCTTTAGGGGGAATATCATAGGATTACACAATCCTTTTTCTCCACCAACAATTAATCATTTAGAGGCATCATCTTGGAACATTGTCATCTATAACTTACAATTTTTAGAAGTTCTGCAGGAAAAACTGAGAAGTTATAATACCAAAAAAGGTAATAGGGAAAGCTAAACAGATGGAAAATATTGACCCAAACATAATATGAAGTTATATATGCAGCACCTGGAGTGAAAAACAAAACAAAATAACAGACACAACTTTTCTTAACTCCAACAGTCTGAAAGTACACAACTAAATGTATTCAAGAGCTAAAAAAGTGGATTTAGCTTCATATGTCACTTCAAATTCCTATTTTTCTCTGACCTAAAAGTGGTTTGTTCCAACAATGATGTGATGGATCTGGCTGGTTGGCAGTGAAAACATTCAGAGACTCGCTTAAGTTAAGGCTGTAAAATACTATTTATCTGTTTTAGTTTAGGCTTCAAAGGATAAGAGAAATGGCAACTTCCAAAATACAACTCATTCCAACTTACTCTTAATTTGAAAGTCTCTTTTCTGTTAAATGCATTCAATTTCAATGAGAGGTTAGATCTGACCATTTCTTCTAAATCGCTAAGCTATCATTTAAAAAAAACAACAACAAAAAAAGAGAAAACAGCCAGTTAAGTAAGTTTGCATCTTTATAAAACCATTTGTGTCTTCTCTGTGAGTTATCATGCAATATGTTGAGAGTCAGTTTAGATTTCTGGAAAATCACTTAAGGCAGCGTGCATATTTTTAACAGCTGCAGACACGGAAGGACGGAGGAGGAAAAACAACAAAAATCTGTGTGAATTTTGATTATAGTAAACTGGGAAATAGAAATGTAAATAAGATATTTTTAAGTAAACAAAATATACCTTTAACTTGTGTTTATCAGAAGCAACTTAGGTGTACTTTAACAATTTATTTAAGTAAAGAAAAAAAAAACATTTGGACAGTGGGCAGATAAAATAGGACAGGACGCAATGGATAAGACATCTCTACATAATTTGGTCTCACTGGAAAAGCTTAAACTTCCCAATAATTAACTTTAGGGTTTTTTCCTAACAAGCTTTTATAAATAAAAACGGTTAAAACATTCCCTTTAAGTATAAAATAAGTGCTTCAATTCCCCATATTAATATTTTTAGCTACATTAAGGCCATTTTTATTACATCACATATCCCCAAACATTTACTGAAGACCTTTAATAAATGTTTGCCCCCATGTGTTCATAGCAGATGTTAGTGAAGAATCTGGAATGCAGCTGAGTCTCCTTCCTAATGACCTAATCCATGTCATTCTATTTGTCTAGCCTTGCTTTCAGAAACGATAGAAATCAGCTGGTAAACTACTTCTGCAATGTTACTCTGTCTTGGATCTCTGATGTGTGGAAGAATCTTTAAGGTAGTTGTTGTAAAAGAAGGAGGCAAACAGCACCAGATAACTGAAGTACATGAGTGAGCCCCACATGATGTTGTCCATGTTGGAAGGACAGTGCACATCATGGATCCAGTGGTAAACTAAGCCCAGCACAGTGAGGCCCATCGCCATCTGCAAGATCTGGGCAGCAGTGATGATCATGGCGCATAGCCGTGGCACCTGCAATCCAGCCGCCCGGGCTGCATAGTACGTGTACATGATGGAGTGAACCATGTAGTTCATGGTCATGAACCAGCCGCCACCTGCCACCTGGTCCTTGTAGGAGAACCAGGAGTAAATCAGCACAGTGATGTGGTGGTACCAGTGGAGGAAGATCAGACGCTGCTTTCTGAGGATGATGAAGGCCGTGTCTCCTGAGAGAAACGGGAAAGTAAGGTTACCAAACATTTCTAATCCCAATGTAAAATATTTTTAGTAGTTAAAATATTCTTTAAAAATAATATACATAAAGGACTCAATAAGGGCTGAAACAACTAATCGATTATTGAATTAATCGTCACCAAAATTATAAACTGATTAATCGTTCGAAGAATCTGAAACATGCCTTTAGCTAACAAGGCAACCTACTTAGAGCTATACCAAGATTGTAAAAAATATAAAACAGTTTGCACTTCAGATAAAAAAAAAAGTTTTTTTTTTCATCTGTCAATGTGCTCTAATCAAAACTCCTTCAGTGGGAAAAGTTTAGTTTCACCTGGTTTAATTTTTGTAAAAAATCATCTTTAAGGAACATTTTACTATCTGGTTATGAATCAATGAATTATTTCTAATTATTTCTAATTATGAATCAATAAAAAAAAAAATCCACAGATGAATCGATTTACAAAATAATTGTTAGTTGCAGCCCTAGACTCAATGAAGACATTAATAATTCAATTTCAAAAAAGGATTTAATCTATGATATTTTTCTCTGCATAGCTTCTTTATCCAAAATAAATTGTAATCTAGCATTTATTAATATATACAAATATACAATTAATAAAATAAAACTTCAAATGAAGGAATGATTTAAAAATTTCCTATTTTCATTGTTGTGCTGCTTTTTTTCATCAAGTAATTTAAAACTCTATTTCTGGAAGGTCTGGATCTAAATTCTGCCCCCTACGGCAGCTATTAGCAATGTTAGCATTAACAGATGGCATAATGAACATAAAGACATGTGAAAACAAAAATAACTTTTTTTCCCTCGAATTAAGGAAGATAACTGCTTTTTTCCAGGTCATTAAATTACTACATATAAAACATTTTATTTATTTTACAAAAATAACATAAAACAACAACAACGTATCACTTCTAGATAAAGTTGTCACAAAACTAACATTTCAAACTCGATACTGATAGCTGAGAAAACATTTGATACTCAATACCATTTTCGATACCAAGGGGAAGGCATAAAAAATATATTTACTAAAATGGAAAAACTGACTTTTTTTCAATCTCAACATGGAACATGCTTTCTCACCAGAACCAATTGATTAAAAAACTGTATATTTAAATACAACATAAATAAAACAATGTGATATTATTTTAAGTTGTTTGAGGTATAATCTTAAATTAACAATAACAAAAACATGCAAACAATACTAGTGTCTAGTATTAATGCCTTGCCAAAAAAAAATTGTATCCAGATACAGTGTTTGAGTATAAATACTTTTAAAAACCCTACTTCTAGCATTATTAATTATCTGGAGAAAATTTGACAACAACATTACATTTTTAGCAGTATAAATTTTAAATACAAAATCGAAATGACAAAATGTCAGGTTCCTGAATAAAAGAGAACAAAAAACGCTATATTTGCGTCATAGCTGCAAAACAGAACTAGCAACTTTTCTTTTAACCTTCGAAAAAACAAAACTAGACTGAGTCATTAGTTATGCGATGTGAGAGTTACCCACAAGAGATAACGGGCCATGGGCTAAAGGCTACAGGCAGATGCATTTCCATGTAGCTGGTAGTTTATTTAAAAAGAGTTGCATCAAAATACAGATTTACAATATTTAGAAAAATATAAATTGCATTACTTGCAAAATGATCAAAGCTGAACTCATAACAATCAAGATTAAAGCTAACTGCTACACCGACCTAATTCTGTCCCACCAAACAGCTAAACCTGTTAAATATTCTGTGGCTCAATCTGAAATCCGTCATGACATTAAACACATGAATCCACGGTCACCATATTAGTGTTATCCAAATAATGCTGGCAGTTAGCAAGGAGATAGGACCATGAAGTATTATGCTTCCTAGCGTCACTTCAGTTTTAATAGGGACCTCCTGACATCAATAGTATTCATCATAAGCTATACGCAGCATCAGTGTTCATCCGGCTGTGAAGGCAGGTGAGTAAAAAGGTCCTTCTTATATCCTTATTTCCACCAATCCCTGCCCAGCTTTAAAGAAACATTAAAGTAGAACCAGAGGAAACCTTACCCAGCTCAGGAGCCTTGCTAATAGCAAAAGCGTAGGCCCAGAACTTAGTGATGGGGGCGCTGTAGAAACTGATGTCACACACAGACTGCTTGAAGCCGCTGCTTGAGAGAACATGCATCATATATGTTCCGGTCCTGATGGCTCCTATAATACTGTGTTTATGAAGAAAAAGGACATTTTTAATTTCTCATAATAGGCAATATCAATGATTTCAATGTAAATTCAATTAAAATGCCTTTTTCTGCTGATTTCTTCACAATTACAGCAAAGAAAAATGAACGTGAACATCACAAGTTTCATTTGATAATATTAAACAGAAAGAATCAACCATCAGGAAAATAAACACAGAAATTTTGTTGTTTTTTATTTTAGTTTTTTTTTTAATTGGTAGGAAAAGTTCTCTGAAACAAAACACGTTGACTAGTAAAAGCTTCTTTTTTTTTGTCCACTGTAGACCGAATACAGCTTACCTGAAAATGGCGAGGCTGAGCGACCACAGGGCCAAAGGTCGCCGCAGGTGCAGTTTTGGTCTTTCTCTCATGAAGAGCCGACCCCCGAACACAAGGGCAGCATACAGGCTACAAAATATGAACGACGTCCTCCTGCAGAGAGGAGACACACATTGAGATGCTGAGCCTCAGTTGGCTTAAACATACAGTACAGGGATGCAACCATTGTTTAGCATTAGATTTTGCAGCAGATTTAAGACTTAAGCCTTACTTTTTTTTCTTCCCTCAATTGTATCAAAGAATCTCATCAAGGGAGCCAAACTGCCCAAATTTAATCTATAAATCAAATTTTTGGAGCAAAATCTTGTTTTTTTTCACCTATTTTATATGGATGAAAATCTTGAAATCCTGTTTTCTTTTTTAGGATTCAGTGCTTAATGTAATATAAAGAATGTCTTCTGAAGGAAGCATTAAACTGTCCAATCTAATCTCAAGGTGTTTAGTGAAACTGCCCACTGCCACTAAATGCTGATTGTTTCTGGGTTTAAATGTTTTTTTTTCAGTCAGTGTGAAAGGGTTATAAAGCAGGATAAGATCAAAATAATATTATCCTAAGACATGATCAATGAGCTAAGTTGAAGAGACAGACAAGAAAGAAGAGTTTTTTTCCAAAGCGGCCAAGAAGCCAAACCGTGGAGGAGCTGCAGAGATTTAAAGCTAAAGTCAAAGAATCCACCCGCAGATCAGCAATTCCTTGAGAGGTTCAACTTCCAACAGGACAACATTCAACAAACATCTAGAGCTACAACCACATCATGTGCTAATCAGGCTCAGTCAAAGTCCAAATCTAAAACCAACAAGAACATTTTAAACACCTAAAATAGATTGATGTTGACAGACTCTCATCATCGATCGAAGTTTAAGGTATTTTGCAAAGAAAAAGCAGCAAAAGTCTCTTGAAAGCTGAGAAATACCCCTTCATTGTGTTGATCTATAAAATAAAATCAAATACATCTAAATATATTTAAAAGTATGGCTCCTATAATACTGTGTTTATGAGGAAAAGGACAATTAAAAGTATGTATATATTATAGTATGTAAAGTATGTATATATTTAAAATATGTTAGAGATCAAGAAGAGGAGCCCTGGACCCACAACCCCATATACGGGTCAACATTATAATCTGTGAGGTTAATTTAAACAGTCTGTATATTTTATGTTTCATTAAACTGTTTACCCAAAACAAAGTAGACCTGTACTAATTTCCATAGAACCAACAGTCCCATTAGTTAACAGTTGCTGCTGTTCTCTGGTGCGTTAAACCCACTTTTTACAACAGAAGAGTTTGACTTTATTAATGACAGGAGATAACAACAGAGCAGCTCAGTGATGATTGTGGTTAGGACTGAAACACTTAATCGAATTAATCATGATTAACTGTTTACTGAAATAATTATCAACTAATTATGTAATCAATTGATAATAACTGGAGTATGCCGACATTTTTTTTGTCTGTCGATACGCTCTATCCAGAACTCCGGGAGTAGAATAGTTTTTGTTTCTTTAAGGAACCCTTTATAATCCGATTATTAATCGATTAATCAAAATAACAAGTCGACAGATTAATTGATGAGGAAAATAATCATTAGTTGGAGCCAAAATTGTGATGTTTTCATCAGAGCTCTATGGTGGGGAAAGAAAGAGATAAACCGATACATCAGCCAGCCGATATTAGTAATTTTCCTGTTGGTATTGGCCAAGATGTGCATAATTTGGCTGATCAAACAGTGCCTTCAGTAGACATGCCATAAGATCGTCTACTATCCATTGTTAATGTTAAATTTTATTTGTTAATTAATATTGACTTTTTGCTCATGTTAAAGGTATTGCGGAGAATTTTTTAAAAATGTGCGTGCAAGAGTATGCACAAGCCCATTTCTCCTCGTGCATACTCTGTTAAAAAGTTGCTGTTCTCATATTGTAGCTCATACAAGCCTACTGTGCCCAAACATCCGCCCTAACTCCTGAATCACTCAATCACTATACAGAGTGGGGACTATATAGTGGATTTTATAGCGAACTCAGTTAACTGACAGTTAAGACAGATGATTACTGCTTTCTCCTCGATTGGTCACGTAACTTCTCCTTCACTGCGTAGTAACTGCGCCATCTTTATCAGCCGGGCCGCTGTGACAGCAAATTCCATAAAGCTTTGCGAGGAGAGCTCTCAACGCAAAGCATTTTGGGATATATCTGCCTCCTCTGAGGCCTTTCACTTCTTCTTGTTGACTTCCTAGACACCTTTTCTCTTACGACCCTTGGCCATTTTTCAAAGAACTACAGTGAGAAAGGTGAGCTTCAATGACTCTCTGAAACCGTACCTCACCACACAAATATGCCTGAAAATGCGCATGCGCAGAAAAGATAGCTATTGGAGCAAGCACGTAGGACGGCCTTACATAAACATATCACCAGAATGATTGACAATTAGGAGGAACACTTATTTAGATGATCCATCCAGAAATAAAAGATCTTCCTCTAAACCTTTAATACTTATCATTCCATAATTTTTATCATTTATATGGAGAAGGAAAAGCAATATTGGCTCCATTAATTGGCCCAAAAATATGTGCAACACATATTGGAGATCAGTTAACTCAAAAAAATTGGCATCAGCATCAGCCTTCAAAAACCTGTAGCAGTTGATCTCTAAAAAGAAATAATCCTTTTTTTGCAGCCAGATATAGAATGAATTCTCCATCTAGTAGTCAAACACAAACATTTATTTTAAGTAAAAAGAAAGAAATGTATTTGTTTTTAATCACAGAAGTATTATTCTGGGATAGCAGAAGGTTATAACCAGATATGGACAATACTTACATAATTTCTTATTTATGTAATGTTTTTTTTATGCATTTTTTCTCTACTCCATTCACAATTATGAATACAATCATACATCAAACATTAAACCCCAAACATTGGATGATGTTTGTAGTGTGCTATATAAAGACTGATTTAAGACCATGCAGACCATAAGCAGTTGTATAATCAAGGTAGCCATGTTGAATTTCAAAGTCCATTAGGGCAGCAACTAATGATTATTTTGCAAACTGAGTAATCTGTTGATTTTATAATTAGATAAAAAAGAATTTTTGCTATATTACATACTGGATAGAGCATATTGACAGACAAAAATGTGTTTTTTATATTAAATAAAAAATGTTTACGTTTTCTTTTTACAATTTTAGTATAATTGTAAAAAGTGGGCTGCTCTGTCAGCTAAAGGCATGTTTTACAGTCTCTACTAAATAAGCTGACAATTATTTCGATAATCGACTAATCAGGATTAATACAATTAATTGTTTCAGCCCTAAAGACCATATTTTGAAGTTTGTTCATAATTGTTATAATATAGATCAAAATTTGACTCCTTTCAGTAAGTTAGCATTTTATTCAAGCTAAAAAATAAAAAAATAAAAGTTATTTACGAGAATTAAATGTGAGAAATAATAGATTTTCATCATGCGATTAATTGAATTATTGTTTGTTTTGAAAACCAACCAAGATTAGATTTATATCAGGCTACTCTCTGATTATATGGTTAAGATCAGAAGATTAAAAAAGGATAGAGATATAAAAAAATATAGAGGATGAAAAATTATTGTTTAACCAAGACTTCTTAGTTGTGCTACTATCTTCTGGACAATAATCTACTCCAGAACTCCAGCTCAAACATAAATAACTAAGGGACAGCGTGACCTCAGATTTACAGCACCAACTCCTGGAGTCCAGCCCCCTGTGCGTTCACCCCAGCCTCTCAAATAACTTATCTTATTAAAATCTGTACAGTGGAGTCCAACCACCTACAAAAATGTAGGTGCAGCAGCCATCAGACCTGAAGACAAAGAACAAACTGATAAATCAGGCTGCCTTTGTTTTCAGGTCATACCTGGATGTTGGTGATGTTGAGAGGAATGCAGCACGACCAAATAGTTTGTTGATGCTTCCAGAAAAGCAATAAGGAAGAAGGTTAGCTGTGCCTTTCAGGGTGTTGTTCTTTTTACCCTTTGTCTAAGAAGAAAATCAAACTTCTATGGATTCTATTGGGATTTTCTATATCAGTGCAAATAATTAGTAGTGCAAAATAATGTAAGAGAGACAATGAGATATGATTTTGATCATTTAAATGAATAAAAAACATACGTTTTCTCTGTATTTGTAATGATGCCCTTTTATGGCTTATGGCAGACAAGAGTAATTTTGTTTTTTATTGTTAGTCAGCAATGCCTTGCTTTAAGTCTTTCAACAAATCTTCCTGATCTGAGACCATTCAACGAAGGTAAAGAATCAATTAACTAAATGTTATTGGCTCCAGATCATCGAATGAAAGATTATTCTCCAAATGTTTTATTCATCTCTTGCATTTGCATTGTAAATTGGTTGGAAAACTTTCCTATTGCTCTAAATAAGTTAAAAGCTAATTTCGCTTTACTGCAAATTCAAGATAAACTTTGGTTCTCTCACACATAAAACCCCTGCTAAACCTTGATATCCTTGAATCATCTCATTTATTGTGGTTTGCAACCGTGTTTTTCCTTCTCATACATCGTATCTTAGTTTAGATAAGTTTCACTAGTTTTAGTCAAGAGTTTTTAAACTGAAATATGTTAGACTTGGAACTGAATGACTTTTGTTGATAAACTATATATATTTTGAATGGAAGTTGTGGTGAATTTATTCCATCTATGTGCAGTTATTTGTTGTTTTAACACACAGCCAGTAGGGTGTGTGTTCACAAACAATATTTCAATCTGAAAAACTCGCACAGAGAGAAAAGATAATTAGAAGAATTTATTGATAGAAAGTATAGTCTTTGGCGCTCAGACCTCGGCAGGAACATTCATGCTGAATTATGCTTTAACATGCATGAGTAGATAAATGAGAATAGGGATGTTCCCCCGGCCTGAAACTGGTGGTGGTTTAATCGGAGCTGGTTGACAAGGTGATCTGCCGAGCAGAATGTGGGACTAGAAGACTGAGGGAGCTGACGCCAGGCTTCACTCGGAGACTCGGGAACTGTCCATGATGAGCAAGCATGAAGCGACAGTGGAGAGGAAAAACTCCCTCTTGGGAAGAAACCTCTGGCAGAACC